GTCTAAGCAAGATATTTTTACAATTTTGGGGGTGGGCCGGCCCTGTGGGGAATATGGAGAAAAACCTGCGCTTTCATATGACACCTCACTTATTGAGTATCACCTACAGGATCACGAGCAATATTAGTTTGAATCTCTGGTAATTAAAACATCGACCAATTTAGCAGGAGTGCGCAATTCCGCGCAATGGCCAATGCATAGGGATGTGTGCAATCTCTACGGTAAGGATTTTAGCACTACTAGACCTACTAGAATCTAGTCCTACTAGACTCTAGATCTATTTTGAAAAAAAATTATGGAGAGTTTCACGTATCCTTTTTGGTGTTCTTGCTGTTAGCAAGTCTTGCATTTAATCATCATCAAGAAGTTGAAATCTTGGGAGAGTTTCTTTAGCCATTTTTGCCTTGTTTGATCGAGACTGAAATTACCAACCAATTCTTCGCACACGTACGGTATCCTCGATCGCTCAAACCAGTTTTTAACATGTGAACCTATGGGTATTTTACCAATACTGAACTATTTTGCCGGTAACCATGGTAACTGGAATTTTACCGGGAATTTTACAGGAATAGTTAAAGTTTATGACTGCAATTTCGACCAATCAGATGGCTGGATTTCTTAAGTGAGGTATATAATTGAGGGTATTATGTGATTTTTTTTTGATTTTTTTTTTTTTTAATTATTATAAATAAGTATATTCCAGTGTGCATTCATGTAATTACATGTACACTGTATATAGCACTGCTTTTGGTACTTCAGAGGTTTAATAATTAAGAAGAAATTTTGCCTAAGTTGTTCAAAGCCTAAACTTCATGTTAAGGATAAGGTCTGTTTATCTGCATCATATCTGAAGGTAGATAACGGCTCATATTTGTTTTTGTTCAAAGGTCACAAGTTTCTAATACTTGGTTATAGATTAATTAAGAAATAATGTAATGATTATTTTTTCCAATGCCAAAATGCTAAAATGTGAATGGTAAACTTCATTTTTGAGACTTTTGTTTAAAATGTTTGTTTTGTTTTACACGGTTTACCGTCAACCATGGGCTTCAAGTGGGTGGAATGTATTATGACTTGTATACGTCAGATTTTCACAAAATTTCTACTAGCATGACTAGTTGCGATAGATGTAGATGTGTTGTGGTCTATTCTAGTGGATAGGTTGCGTGATTGTGAATCACATGGTTCGCGGTTCGAGTCCCACCACGGCACTAATGTCCTTTGGCAAGACAGTACTCAACATTGCTCACTCTCCACCCATCCCATGTGTATAGTAAATGGGTACCCGTTAGGAATAAATTCTGTAAATGCTTATGAGCACATTATCATGATAGGTTGCAAAAGCCGGGGTAGTAATAAGATTGCAGGGCCCTTGGGGAGAACAGTAAGTGTACTGATGAGGATCTGGGTAAACAAGGCACCATACAAGGCATCATGATTATGTTATTGTTATTATTATTGATGTTATCATTATCATTATTATCATCATCTCTCCCCATTATAATTTCATTTTTCATTGTTACATTCAGATTTTGAATAACATTAAATATAAAGACCAGTTCTGGTCATGCGATTGCATTGTGAAAGAAACGTTGTGGAATCGATCAGAAAAGGTTGATCATCCAGCATATAAGTATTGGTGTGTACTGCAAGGTTCTGGAATCATCAAAATGATAAGAAATTTGGCCCAGTCTTCATGAAGTTACAAGCACTGTACACAGAAAGATATATATGGGACTATGCACACGTGCGCGACACGTGCGTTTATCTCTCACAGTCCAATAAATAAACTAATTTACCAAATATATCAATAAGTAGGCGGTTTCCCGACAAAATTTTTATCATCATTTTTTAGTCAAAACATATTCTTTCACATGATTGGTAATAAAGAGCTTCCATTTCATTTTTTGAAATTGGGGCGTTTCCAATACTGGTCTTTACCTTTAATTATTTTTTATCAAGATAAAAAAACAGAATATGATATTTTGTACGCATTATATTCTGTAGTGAAAAGGGGTGAGGAAAATGATAAACACTCCTCTTTAATACGTTAAGATGAATCAAAGCTATGCTAATCATTATGGTTTTTTCTTTTCTTTTATCTCGTATTCCTGTAGAATTCAAATCATGGCTGATACATTAAAGAATGAAATAGCTCAGAGTCTGGAGTGACCTGTATGTCTAAATACCTTCACCGATCCCAAGATCCTGTCTTGTTCTCACACCTACTGCAAGACCTGTCTGAACAACCTCTTGGAATGCCATGGTAATGACCAGATGCTCCGATGCCCTGTCTGCAGAGCTGAAACCAAGGTCCCAAAACAAGATGTCAGCAAATTACCGGCAAATCTAGCTTTGAAGTCTCTCATAGAGGACGTGAAGAATCAATATCAGTTTTGCACAAATTGTAAATCAGAGGACAAGCCCCGAGCTGTTGTCTACTGTCAAGACTGTGGCAAGTATCTCTGTATTCCTTGCCACAAGGCACATTCTCTGTGGCAAGACTTCATAAGTCATGAGGTCCTAGCAATGAGTGAGATCGTATCAGGGAAGGTGTCAGTACGTAGATACCGTAAATGTAGGAAACACCCTAAAGAGGATGAGGAGTGCTTCTGTTCCAATTGCAGGAGATTTGCCTGCTTCAGGTGTGTTGTCATGGAGCATACAAATGAAGGACATCAGGTTATCGAGGCAGCTGTTTATGAAAGCAACCATGTGAAGAGTATCAAGGACCTAAAATCAAAGGCGGACAAGAAACGCTCTTGCTTTCAGAAATACATTGATTTCATTGATGAACAGAAGGAGCGTGTGAGCAATGTTCAGAAGCAGTGTACAGATGATATCAACAAAGCATATGAAGAATCAGTCCGGCAATTGACTGAGAAGAAAGAACTCCTCATTGTTGAGGTCAAGGATAGGACTGAAGGAGTAGAGAAAGAACTGGACGAAATGAAGAAATCGGCTCAGGAGCATATCACTCACTTGACCACCATAGCTGACATGGTAACCAATCGGACAAAGATACCGTCAGATATGGATGCTTTGGCTGCACACGACACTGCATGTCAAGACTTACAAGAGGCTTTCAAACAAGAAGATCCGGACTATAAGCAGCCGAGGCAATTGAGCAAGAAAGGAAAAAGTGTCAATTTTAAGAGAAACGTTGGAATGGACGAGCTAGGTCTTGGTAAGATCGTAAATGCAGTTGCAACAAAGAACATTGCTTTGCCTACTAAGAATAGCATGCATGCCATGGTTAGTACACCAGACGGTAGGATGGCAGTGGGATGTTCGACAGGTGGCGTGGAGATCATCTCTGCTGATGGCCAGATCCAAGAGACAGTTCTCAAGGATGTTAAGATTCATGGACTAGGGTTCCTCTCTGATGGTCGGTATGTTATACTTGATCGTTCGAACAATATCACACTGTACACACTAGAGTACACAAAGTTGAATGTAATGTTTGGGAATCTGAGTCGCTGTGAAGAAAGATTGACTAACCTCACTTTAGACAGTGATGATCAGATCTATATTAACTACTGGATAGCTGAAAAGATCAAGGTGTTCTCACCAGCAGGTGGTAAGGCGATCAGAGAGATACTATGTGATGGTTATGAACCTGAGCAGATTACTAGTTATAATGATTACCTGATCATCACATCTGCTGATACAATACGATTGATTGACAAACAAGGTGTTGTAAAATACAAATTAACGAAATTAGGTGATGATCTATATCCTGCGGTGTCTCAGAGGAATACAATCCTGATAGCCACCGTGAAGCACCATGTAGGTTTGGTCAGCATTGATGAGTACACTAACGAGCTGAAGCATGTCAAGAACCTCGTCATTGATTACAAGATTGAGAAGCCTGAGAGATGGTGGTACTATCTCCAGCAGTATCAATCAGGAGAGATCGCTTTCTGTACTTCTGATAGACTCTACATATTTGACTGAAAATGATGGATGACTCCCCAATTCTTACATTGTATGACAACACTGTCTTCAGGTCGTAGGCAGGCAAGGGGGGGGGGGGGGGTGCGATGTTTGCGATTAGACCAATTTTATCTGGTCAAAACAGGCACGCTGAAAAACTAAGAACAACATATTTCGTTGAAAATGGACCCTTCCCCGCCCCCTTGTTCAAAAGCTTCTAACAGGCCTGTTTTTTCTGTGACTTCATAAAGAAACCAGTGGAATCAGTTATATTGGAACTTGAATGGAGTTTTGGTGAATGTTTTAGAAATGACATTCCTAGATCATGTAGATCAATTTAAATGATTGAACCTTTCTAAAATGTAAAAAGTAACCTTTCTTTTATTATATTTTTGATGATATTTGTTTTATATTGCTGTTTATTACATTGAATAATATTTTTCTTTATTTTATCCAATGCATTTCAGATCACTGTGGGACTAATCAAACTATAATTTGTTTTTACCCAGAATCGTGAGAGGATGTGCCACTTTTCATAATAATTTCTACTTCTTACAACTTCTCTAGCTGTGTACTAGAGAGTTTAAGAGTTTTAAAAGTTGATCTATTGATTGTATGATATATGCTGTAAAAGTATTGTAAAAGCAAATAACAAAATAAGGATTTATGTTTGAATATGATTGACTGTGATATCTTGTTTTTGTTTTTGATGTTTACTTTCCATCTGGCAAAGTACATGAGAGAAATGGCATGGAACTTGTCAGAAATATCTGATTCATGTATTCACTTTTTAAAGATATTTTGTTTTGTCTGTGTTTCCATTTAGAGCAAATGGTATTTGTAAGTTTTTAGAAAAATCTGAAAAGTTGTGATTTTACATTACTCTATGTTCACCTTGTACTAAAGATTTCATTAAACATCACCCTGCCATTTTCTTTTTCATACTTGTATGTGGCCGAAATATAAAATTGTTAACATGTTCTTATGTGGGCTCCTGTGTGTAAAACAAATACACTATCATCAAAACTGTTTGGACATTTTCCATACACATGTACAAAACAAATGGAAAGGTAATCGCATTTAGGTGTGCCAATCTTTAGGGGACTTAATTTAAATGTTGATTTGCTGAAAAACTATAAAAACTATTCAACTAGCAAGGAAGAGAACAAGAAAAAAAACGAACTGTTCCCCAGATTGTTGATTTTCTGATCATCTATTTTAGTGATTCGGTGACAACCTAAGGATATTAAAGATTTGCTGACGACCCCTTACCGGACACCCCTAATGGTATTTGTCTGAGACGTGAACGATGAGAAAGAGCTTACCTCCAGTAGTTCAAACACCTGGTTTCCGAACTTTAGGGGACTTAATTTAAATGTTGATTTGCTGAAAAACTATCAAAACTATTCAACTAGCAAGGAAGAGAACGAGAAAAAAAATGAACTGTCCTCAGATTGTTGACTTTCCTGGTCATTTTTGGTGGGGATTGGCTGACAGCCTAAGGATATTAAAGATTTGCTGACAACTCCTTTACAACGACATCCCTAATGGTATTTGTCTGAGACGTGAATGATGAGAAAGAGCTTACCTCTAAAAGTTCAAAAACCTGGTTTCCGATGGTAGAGAGACAGTCACATGCACAGGACTGGAGGACGCTGTTCGACGAGTCCTGGAGGATTCTGGGTAATGCCCCTGATAACAGCTTCTTCCACACTTCAACCGCCTGTAATCAAGAGGAGTGAGAGATTTAAATCCATAAGTCTGGTAATTGATGGATGTGGGTTACATCGATACAATAAGGTCTTGCCATGGGCCACTTTATGTGAAGCAGGAGGCTCAAACTAACAGGCTCCTTGTGCACTTGGGCTCTTAAATTCACTTGTGAATACAATTTTAAAAGTGAAACTTAATAGGGGCCATAAGCAACAAACCTTAAAATTTCAATCTGGGACCCATTTCACAAAACCTTTTTTCAATGACAAATGACAAAAATCAGTGACAAATCTGTTGATAACTAATCAGAAGCAAGGATTTCAGTAGCTTATAACAAAAACTGTCATTTGTCACTGATGATAAGTTTTGTGAAACACCCCCCTGGACTGTGAAAAAAAATTAGTATGGAGCACTGGAACAATAATTGTAAGATAAATTGAAAATAGAAATAGATTCAACCTATACCATGAATAAAGCCCATGTCTACCTGAAGTATAGAAAGCTCTTTGACCCAACTCCAGTCATTAGATTCAATTAGAACTCTGCACCTCCAGTACTCAATCACTGGGGAACATTCCAATTTCAGTGAGTTGCCATTTAACAGGCACCCACATGATAATCTAACCAGAGGCATTCATGCCGCGCCCAGTGCCAACTTAACACCGGTGTGGAGATGAGGAATGTAGATATAATTCCTTCCTCGAGGATATAAGTGTGCTGTGCTGAGCATTGAATCCCCAACCTCTGCACCCACCCACAGTCAAGTCAACCACTTGACTACAACACCTCTACGTCTATGTTAACTTACCTCTTGGGGTTGAAGAGGAGGGTTGAGTTTCACTGATTTATCCACCTCAGGATCAAGCTGCTCTAACAGAGCCTTCCCAAGCTCTTCAAGAACCTACCAAGAAATGACAATGAAGATTACTTTAGTGATGGCACAGACTTAGATCTAGATCTACCAGTAGTTTTTGTTTGGTAAGTTATGAAGTTTATTTACGAGATTGACAAAACTTTGCCCTTCACGTCAACAATATAACACAAAATTGTCGGTAAGACATGTGCTATTCTAGACAGTTATTCTAGAAATGTCCAGTACCATTCATTGTAGTCCCATATGTACGAATTTGTGCTGTTTTCATGGTTTTGACTTGCTTTTTTTTTTTTACTCTTGTGGTGCAAAGGCCGCACCTAGACTTTTTGATATTTTCTCTTCCAAAAATACTGCGGCCTTTACACCGGCAAATATGGTATTACAGATAATGCACATTGCAGGTAAAAGGTGAAGGACTTAAACAAATTGTACCGTCCTAATTTTTATGCCTTTGATGGCAAAAAATAATCTCTAAATTTGCTCTGAAACGCATTTCCACACAATTACAATATTTTAGAATCTGAGTATCACCCAAAAACTTTCTTTCGTGGCAAAATAATTCAATTGTGAATATCTCAAGGAAATTCTAAGATACATCTACATGGCTGTTTATCAAAATAACAATACCAGTTTTGCTAATTTGAAAAAAAGAAAGGCTGATCATTCCAGCTTGTTCTGAATAAGTTAATTAAGTTTATACCTTTAAGACTGTGGAGTTGTATTTGTGAGTCCCTATCTGACAGACATTTGATGATAATATGATTCAATTTGAAGAAGAAAAGCTGTTCTATTTAGCCCTTTGAAAATTCTATGTCCCGAAAGGATTAATAAAGTAGTACTTTAAAGGCATCGCTTAACAATGTTAAATCTAAGATGCATGGCCCTACGTGCTATCAGTGTCTGTGATACCGTGTAATATTGAATACCTTAAAAAATTCTGCTTCAAAATGATCAAGAAATGCCTCAAAAAAGTAAAAATCTTTGAGTGACCAGTTTTACCATACTTGTTTTCTCCAATAGACCGTAGTGTTATGAAAACTGTATGGAAAAACCCAAAAATTTGGTTTCGATTTCCAATCATAAATATCTTGATAATCAGACATGCGATCGGCTTGTAAAAGCCATGGGGTTCCTGAATGACCTAAAGGTTTATATTTATGATTGCAGCATGAGCTAAATCCAGGATTTTGTTTTAGAATCTGAGACAAAGTTACCAGATCCCTTTAAGACTGTGGAGTTGTATTTGAGAGTCTTTATCTGACAAGTATTTCAATGATAATATGATTGAATTTGAAGAAGAAAAGATTTTCTGTGTAGCCCTTTAAACAGTCTATGTCCCAAAGGATTAATAAAGTAGAACCTTAAGACTGTGGAGTTTTATTTGTAAGTCCCTATCTGACAGACATTCAATGATGATTTGTTTAGCCCTTTAAACAGTCTATGTCCCGAAAGGATCAATAAAGTAGTACCTTAAGACTCTGGACTTGTATTTGTGAGTCCCTATCTGACAAACATTCAATGATGATTTGTGTAGCCTTTTAAACAGTCTATATCTAGAAAGGATTAATAAGTAGTACCTTAAGACTGTGGAGTTGTATTTGTGAGTCCCTATCTGACAGACATTCAATGATGATTTGTTTAGCCAGTCTATATCTAGAAAGGATTAATAAGTAGTACCTTAAGACTGTGGAGTTGTATTTGTAAGTCTGTATCTGACAAACATTCAATGATGATTTGTGTAGCCTTTTAAACAGTCTATATCTAGAAAGGATTAATAAGTAGTACCTTAAGACTGTGGAGTTGTATTTGTAAGTCTGTATCTGACAAACATTCAATGATGATTTGTGTAGCCTTTTAAACAGTCTATATCTAGAAAGGATTAATAAGTAGTACCTTAAGACTGTGGAGTTGTATTTGTAAGTCTGTATCTGACAAACATTCAATGATGATTTGTGTAGCCTTTTAAACAGTCTATATCTAGAAAGGATTAATAAGTAGTACCTTAAGACTGTGGAGTTGTATTTGTAAGTCTGTATCTGACAAACATTCAATGATGATTTGTGTAGCCTTTTAAACAGTCTATATCTAGAAAGGATTAATAAGTAGTACCTTAAGACTGTGGAGTTGTATTTGTAAGTCTGTATCTGACAAACATTCAATGATGATTTGTGTAGCCTTTTAAACAGTCTATTTCTAGAAAGGATTAATAAGTAGTACCTTAAGACTGTGGAGTTGTATTTGTAAGTCTGTATCTGACAAACATTCAATGATGATTTGTGTAGCCCTTTAAACAGTCTATGTCCCGAAAGGATTAATAAGTAGTACCTTAAGACTGTGGAGTTGTATTTGTGAGTCCCTATCTGACAGACATTCAATGATGATTTGTTTAGCCCTTTAAACAGTCTATGTCCCGAAAGGATCAATAAAGTAGTACCTTAAGACTCTGGACTTGTATTTGTGAGTCCCTATCTGACAAACATTCAATGATGATTTGTGTAGCCTTTTAAACAGTCTATATCTAGAAAGGATTAATAAGTAGTACCTTAAGACTGTGGAGTTGTATTTGTGAGTCCCTATCTGACAGACATTCAATGATGATTTGTTTAGCCAGTCTATATCTAGAAAGGATTAATAAGTAGTACCTTAAGACTGTGGAGTTGTATTTGTAAGTCTGTATCTGACAAACATTCAATGATGATTTGTGTAGCCTTTTAAACAGTCTATTTCTAGAAAGGATTAATAAGTAGTACCTTAAGACTGTGGAGTTGTATTTGTAAGTCTGTATCTGACAAACATTCAATGATGATTTGTGTAGCCCTTTAAACAGTCTATGTCCCGAAAGGATTAATAAGTAGTACCTTAAGACTGTGGAGTTGTATTTGTGAGTCCCTATCTGACAGACATTCAATGATGATTTGTTTAGCCCTTTAAACAGTCTATGTCCCGAAAGGATCAATAAAGTAGTACCTTAAGACTCTGGACTTGTATTTGTGAGTCCCTATCTGACAAACATTCAATGATGATTTGTGTAGCCTTTTAAACAGTCTATATCTAGAAAGGATTAATAAGTAGTACCTTAAGACTGTGGAGTTGTATTTGTGAGTCCCTATCTGACAGACATTCAATGATGATTTGTTTAGCCAGTCTATATCTAGAAAGGATTAATGAGTAGTACCTTAAGACTGTGGAGTTGTATTTGTAAGTCTGTATCTGACAAACATTCAATGATGATTTGTGTAGCCTTTTAAACAGTCTATATCTAGAAAGGATTAATAAGTAGTACCTTAAGACTGTGGAGTTGTATTTGTAAGTCCTTATCTGTCAAACATTCAATGATGATTTGTGTAGCCTTTTAAACAGTCTGTATCTAGAAAGGATTAATAAGTAGTACCTTAAGACTGGGGAGTTGTATTTGTAAGTCTGTATCTGACAAACATTCAATGATGATTTGTGTAGCCTTTTAAACAGTCTATATCTAGAAAGGATTAATAAGTAGTACCTTAAGACTGTGGAGTTGTATTTGTAAGTCTGTATCTGACAAACATTCAATGATGATTTGTGTAGCCTTTTAAACAGTCTATATCTAGAAAGGATTAATAAGTAGTACCTTAAGACTGTGGAGTTGTATTTGTAAGTCTGTATCTGACAAACATTCAATGATGATTTGTGTAGCCTTTTAAACAGTCTATATCTAGAAAGGATTAATAAGTAGTACCTAAAGACTGTGGAGTTGTATTTGTAAGTCTGTATCTGACAAACATTCAATGATGATTTGTGTAGCCTTTTAAACAGTCTATATCTAGAAAGGATTAATAAGTAGTACCTTAAGACTGTGGAGTTGTATTTGTAAGTCTGTATCTGACAAACATTCAATGATGATTTGTGTAGCCTTTTAAACAGTCTATATCTAGAAAGGATTAATAAGTAGTACCTTAAGACTGTGGAGTTGTATTTGTGAGTCCCTATCTGACAGACATTCAATGATGATTTGTTTAGCCAGTCTATATCTAGAAAGGATTAATAAGTAGTACCTTAAGACTGTGGAGTTGTATTTGTAAGTCCGTATCTGACAAACATTCAATGATGATTTGTGTAGCCTTTTAAACAGTCTATATCTAGAAAGGATTAATAAGTAGTACCTTAAGACTGTGGAGTTGTATTTGTAAGTCGGTATCTGACAAACATTCAATGATGATTTGTGTAGCCTTTTAAACAGTCTATATCTAGAAAGGATTAATAAGTAGTACCTTAAGACTGTGGAGTTGTATTTGTAAGTCTGTATCTGACAAATATTCAATGATGATTTGTGTAGCCTTTTAAACAGTCTATATCTAGAAAGGATTAATAAGTAGTACCTTAAGACTGTGGAGTTTTATTTGTGAGTCCCTATCTGACAGACATTCAATGATTATTTGTTTAGCCCTTTAAACAGTCTATGTCCCGAAAGGATTAATAAGTAGTACCTTAAGACTGTGGAGTTGTATTTGTGAGTCCCTATCTGACAGACATTCAATGATGATTTGTTTAGCCCTTTAAACAGTCTATGTCCCGAAAGGATCAATAAAGTAGTACCTTAAGACTCTGGACTTGTATTTGTGAGTCCCTATCTGACAGACATTCAATGATGATATGATTCAATTTGAAGAAGAAGAGCTTTTCAATTTTAAAAAGTATATGTCCCAAATGATCAATAAAGTGGTACCTTAAGACTGTGAAGTTTTATTTGTGAGTCTCTATCTGACAGACATTCAATGATGATTTGATTCAATTTGAAGAAGAAAAGCTTTTCTATTCAGCCCTTTTAAAAGTCTATTTCCCGAAAGGATCAATAAAGTAGTACCTTAAGACTGTGGAGTTGTATCTGTGAGTCTCTATCTGACAGACATTCAATGATGATATGACTAAGGTGCATGAGGATGCCTCTCATGATATGAACGTATCCTTTCACCATCTGGGTTAACACTTGGAGGGACTCAATCCGCACTGGTAGAGATTCTATGCTGTACCTAGAGGCAAAGAGAAAAGAGGAGATATGCAAGGACAGAAATGGAGATAGAGAAAGAGAGATAGAGGCACAGAGAGAGAAAAAAGAACAACAAAATAGGGACAGAGAGAGGAGGGCAGAGATGAAAATACAGAGATGGAGATAGAGAAAGAGAGATAGAGGCAGAGAGAGAGGGTGGCAGGACAGAGAGAGAAAAGAAGAACAACAAAATAGGGACAGAGATAGAAGGGCAGAGAAAGAGGGGCAGAGATAGAGGGGCAGAGTTAGAGGAAGAGAAAGAGGGAGACAGTGGGAAAGTAAGAAAGTAGGGGAGAAAGGGAATAAGAGAGAAAGATGGAGTAAGATAGACCACGAGGAAGAGAGAGAGAGACGGACAGCAAGAGAGAGAGAGAGACAGACAGACAGACAGAGAAGAAGAAGAAGAGAGGGGAAGAATATTCAATCGAAAGGATTAGTATTCATATTCTGATACAATCAATTGACTTTCCTTTCATCCCTACTATTCTAATCAATTAGTGTAACACTCAATAAAGACTATGAAGACATGCAACACTTTCAAAAATATGTCTACAGTACTAAAACAATGAATATGCGCCTTTTATCCAAATCTTATTTTCATTCTCTAAAGTGGACTTTTAAGACGTTTTTATGTCTTCTAATAATAAGAGTTTTAAAAAGTTTCTATGATAAGAATCGTTACCACGTTTTTCAACCCACCTTTCATTGAGACTATTGGCTGCATACTCTGATGTGTCAGCAGGCAAGCAGATGTCACTACACAGTGTCACCAACCAAGACATACGGACACCACTATCAGTCTCTGCAGCAGAGTTCACCGTCCTGTCTTCAGAGACCTCTGGTCCTCCAGAGGCACTTTGTCCATCTCTCAATGACAACCTATCCAAGGCTTGTTCAGTTACATCCGCTCCTCCTGCACTGGGGACACCTGAGGCCTGTTCTGGATCCTGTCCCACCATGTCAGCAAGGCTTCCTGATCCTCCAGGACCGTCTCTTCTGCTTTCGTCCGAGGGACTTTCAGCATTGTCCGATGACCGGTTGGCTTGGAGCCGTAGCATCAGGGTTCCGGAGCCACCTGCCTTTGGTCTCTCGCTGCTCTCCATGAGCTTGGTGACTTCATCCAGCGGGGGGCTGGCACCTAGGACAGCTCCTACACATGTCAGACAGGCTGTCCTTACGTTGCTATCTATATAGGGAGAATTCCAAACGAGACACACTGTGACTTCATAATCTTCATTTCTCATCTAAACTGTACATTCTCTTCATACATATCTGGTACGTATAGAATCTAGGAACATCTTGACATTTCAAGCATTGTGTTTCTATGTGATATGTATATGATCCTTGCATACCTACATATTATACTCATCATGGCAGTTTGTGGATGTAATATGCACTGGCATAAATATCACCGAACCATATAGCAATTAGGCATTACAAATAAACATACACACATAGCTCACATAGTTGGTTTGTGTTTCGATTGTCATATTACTGCCTTTAATAATAACATATTAAAACAGGACATGTACATTTAAGGTAACATTTACATAACTGTCAGATTGCAAAAGAAGAAGACATGAATAAGCATTATCACATGTATTTCATTGTACCTCTCCTCTCCTCTCCTCTTTGACCATGATCAACAATAGATTCTTTTATAACTTTTTATGTAAAGCGCTGTGAAACAACAGTTAGTTCGTAAGAGCGCTATATAAATGACTTTATTGTATTGTATTGTATTGTATTGTAAATATTGCTGTTTTGCAATGTTGAACTGGCACAACTAAGTGAACATACATGTTTGCAGTTTTCTTGATGAGTTTTTCAGAAATTGTCCCAGAGAAATTAATAAATGACACGGAAGCAAATAAATTCACAAATATTTCTGAAATTCAAATATAAGATCTGATCAGGAACACAGTGATTGGAGGAGGGTAGGGGCTATAATACAAATATGTTAGATATCGAGTAGTGATGATGGTATTACCTCTGTGGCAGAAGAATGGTTTGAGCGCTCTGATGATCCTGGTGAGGAGGCCAGCTTCAAGATGATTGTAAGGAACATTCATAGCTAACATGGAAAGACACTGTAATAAAAACAAGATAAAAAGTAGATCGTAATTTGAGATATAGCAAAACAGGAATAATAACAATGATTATAATAGGTCCATTTATATAGCACAGCCACTGTAAGAATATACTCTACTGTACTTAATACAAAGTATCATAGTAATATCATCAAAGTAATATTATATCTATAAAACACTTAGACACATTGTTGATGTATTAAGCGCTACCGTATATATATAAGCCAAATATTATTATCATTATCAAATCATTAACTCAGCCGTAGCTGAGCTGCCATGCCATAATAAGGCGCTAAAGCATTCTAGGAATTTCTTCCTACCGGGTACCCATTTACTTTACCTGGGTGGAAGAAGCATTAATATGAGAGGTAAATTGATAATTGATACATTGACATCACTACATGCTTAGTTTTTTTGTGGGGTATTCTAAAGCTAAGCCCGTCATTTTTTTTAAGTTACAAGAGTTAAGGGCCCTCTATTGTTTAATTCAGTCTGGTCGCTGATATGATATGGAGTATCTTTCTCTTGTTTTCCGTTGCTGCCATCACAAAAATTGAGGAACCTGGAAATAGCTTTCGGACACTTACATACAACGCGCATGCATAATACGTGTACTGCGTAGGCCACTGTACACCGGTTTCAGGTTTCATGTTGTGAATGCCATTGGTTTGACAGTTACAAATACTTCCACATAAAATTGTGCAGACAATCGTCTCGATGGTATCAATACAGGGGGGTGTTTCACAAAGATCCTAAGTCGAACTTAACTCTAAGTTGGACTTAACATTATGGAGAAACAATTGTAGCCTTAAAATAAAATATATTAAAAAGCAAAAAGTCTAGTATTTTAGACTTTTAATAAATTCCACATCAAGAACATGAAATCTCCTTGATACTAGAAAATAAGAATAATTTGAATCAACATTATATGCCTTAATATTTTCAAAGATGCTAATGGCTTTCCATCATTGTTAAGTCCAACTTAGAGATAAGTTCAACTTAGGATCTTTGTGAAGCACCCCCTGGTGCGTGTTCATACCTTGATGATCTGGGTGATTGTAGTGTGAAAGCTCTCTGCTAATAGAGCCAATAGAAGGCTTCTATGGACCTCCTTGATGGTACATGCTAGTGTGTAGGAGAAAGGTGTGAATGCTGTTTTCTTCTGGACCCTGTTCATAGAGGGGGGGAAAAATAAATTATATTACAGATGGGAACACACACGTATGGATCTACTACATATGCTCCTGCACCACTTGTTAGTAACCAATTTCTCACCAATTTTTAAACTTCCAAACTTCAACAGACACTATACATAACCCTATAAAACCTAACATACAGCCAAAACCCTGTATATTCAGATTTCTTGTTCTTCCTATTAACCCTATTTTAACTGGGCTATTTCAGACCAGGTTTTTACTGGGGGGGGGGGGTCAAATTGACCCCCCCCCCCTAAGATCTCGACCATTTCACCGCCGATCGCCGCGAAAATTTGCATGCATGTCAAGTGAAGTGTATAGAATACTGTGGTAATTTCAAATTTTTTAAAAATTCACTCAATTGCATATTTATGGTAATTTATGCAAATAAGATCATACAATTCACATTTTTGCCCATAAATCATACATTATTCATACTTAAGCATTCTTTTTCACTACATATATTTGTTAGACCATTTGGAATAATAATACAACATAACAAATTGGAAGAGCCAGGTTATTCCTTATGTTATCTCTTGTTTTGATAATTTCTTATGTATTTCATTGTTTTTTTAACTTATGTATTTTTATTGATTTTGTTGTTTTATTTCATTTATAACTACAATACAACTATTTTGACCCCAAAACAAACACCTAAACTTTAAACAAGACTAAATAACCAATGTTTTATCTCTTTTTAGAAAAAATGACATTTCCATGTTTTGTACACAAATCACAAAAATGAATGATTTTCGGGCTGACATGCAAAGACAAAAGGTCATGTGACTTTGTAACTATACGTCCAATTTTCAAAAAAATCATTTTAAAAGATGTGTAAGACTCGAAAAAAAAAAGTCATGAAAGAAAAATGTTATACCTGTCGCGGTTTCGGAGTAGTCGCGAAATTTCTACAGGGGGGGGTCAAATTGACCACCCCCCCCCCCCCCCCAGTTAACATAGGGTTAAAGGTATCCTGATAAAATTTGAGTACTTACCTATCATCAGCTGCGATAAGGAACTGCTTGGAGCCATCTAGGAGAGCCATGATGACTGCAACACTTGCCACCCTGGCCTTTGGGGAGGGGTCCTTTAACATACAGGTGAAGAGGGTCTGTGTGTTGTGACCTCCTGTGGGAGGAGAGTCTGGTACGAAGGCTGACCAGAAACCGAACATCTGTCTCTTATCCGTGTTCTGGGCAGAAAGCAAACAAGAAATGACAGTTTTTTTTTATAAATGTAATGCTTCCTGGAAGAAATTTCAATTATTTAAACATATTTGTGGCTTACACCCAGTAAATAGACCAGTGATGGCCTGGTGGTAGAGTCGCTGCCTGGCAAGCAGTAAATGCAGGTTCAAGTCCCGCTGGTTCCAAGATTTTTTCTGACTTGTTTTTCAATACAGATCTATCAATCGATCTTATTTACTGGGTGTAAGCCACAAATTTGTTTAAATAAAAGAAATGACAGGTCCCTAATATTATACAAGCTAATATGAGTTAACCCTACAATTTTGGAGCAAGCGCCAAAGCCCCCACTGTAATACATGCAAACTGCATGAAAGTGACGATATTCACTATCAAACTGCAATTTTTTCTTATTTCGGTATAGTCAAGTTTCTTTATTGTTTCCTACAATCAATTATCTGCTGACCTAAATGTCTTCAAGTTACAGTTTTGTACTGATGTTGATAGTAACTCAATGCCTGCTACTTCTACTGAGGGGGAGGGGGGCATTATAAGGGAGTGCCAGGGTATGTCATGCATTTAAATATTGCTAAGTCATACACATGTGCATTGTCTCTTTCATAGACTCATTAGCCAGTACTCATAACAACTTCTTTATACCAGAGTACAAACCCTACTTAGTAAGTGGCAGGAGTAAGCCCATTGGTTTACAGAGTGCTAAGCGTAAACCTCTTCATCATATAAAATTGACTTAACTCTGTAATTAAATGAACACTATGGAATTGAATTCTCAATATGGGCCCATGTGAAAGATAAGTTGTCATGCCCAAATAAAACCTCCAACCCCTTCCAACCATATCTCTTACTTTTTCTTTTTTTCTAGGTTTATTTAAAAACTCTATCTCACCTTCACCACACTGTGCAGACACCCTAGAGATGCCTGTCTCACTTTAGAGGATGCTGATCTTAGTTTTGATACCTGCCCTCCCTCTGAATCCGAGTACTCTGACTCTGAACTGCTCACTCTACCCCAGCTCGGCCAGAAGGAGAGTGTGTCTGGGTTGGAAGAGCCATCTGCTGTGGCCGTTCCATCAGGTTGATGTCCTCCCTGTTTGATGGAAACTGTTGGACTTTCTTCCTGTTTCTCTCGTTGTTGTTTTGCTTGCCTACACAAAGATAGTACATGGTTCAAACTAATATTTTAATTCTCACATTTTATACACAGGAATTTGTATTACCGTATTTGCCGGCGAAAAGGCCGCAGCGCCGCAAAGGCCGCACACGCGATTTTGACATTTAAAAAAATAAATAAATAATTTTAAAAATTGTCGGAGGCGGGATATGAACCCTCCCCTACAAATGTTGATATGACCCAAATCACCGCCTTAGACCGCTCGGCCATCCCGTCCCTGATGCTATCCCTTGCAGTTTTCTCTTGTGTAAATATTGAAATGGATTCAAAATGGCGACTTCGCGCGCTGGATGCTTCGCGGCAGCTCCGTTAAACAGGCCCTTCTTTTACTTTTGCAATGCATTGGCACGAACATAGATCAAGATCTATCTGCAGATGTTGTTTTGGGAAGTTTATTTTCGTCTTCATGTCAACAATGCAAGATAAAATTGTTGGTAAGATGTGTGGAAATGTCCTGTACCATAATGGTATAGTTATTGTACCGTTCGTAGTCCCATATGTGCAAATTCGTGCTGGTTTTGACTTTTTGACTTTTTTTGGTTTTTTACTCTTTCGCCGCAAAGGCCGCACCCCAAATTTTTGATATTTTCTCTTCCAAAAATACTGCTGCCTTTACGCCGGCAAATACGGTATGCAAGTTAACAATCAATCATCTAAAATTCAACGGAGCGAACCTGTATAATTTCCAGCCTATTTTCAGAAATTTTTAGCTATATCAACAACTGAAGTGAACACTGGTAAATCGATATGTGAAAAAGGAAATAACATATATGAAATTGAAGGACCAAGAGCTCCCTGAGTAGTATGATTAACAAATGTAATATCTCTTGCTTTGTCTAGTGGCTAAAGGTGGTAATCCTATACTGTTTTCACACTGGCAAAATTTTGCTTAACCCTGTGGTTAGCTGGCCCTGCAAAATAGCAGAGCTAACCCCGCAATTGTGGTGCTAACTCCTGCTAACTCCTCAACTGCAGTGCCAAGCAAATGAATGAGAACAGAAACGAACTAGATGGAATTTTGACTGCGCGCAGTCGAAAATGATGCCTCCCCCATAGAGCAATTTAAACAAGTTTGGAGTTTAAATCTCCAGTGGTTATTGAGATATCATGATAACAATCTCAATGTATGGAATTTCATAAGTTGACCTCTGTGACCCTTGACCTTTGACCTACGTGCTCCAAAATCTAATCAGATTGTCTTCCTATGGTGATACACACTATCATTAAGTTTGAAGTTTAAATCTCCAGTGGTTCTTGAGATATTATGATAACAATCTCAATGTATGGAATTTCATAAGTTGACCTCTGTGACCCTTGACCTTTGACCTACGTGCTCCAAAATCTAATCAGATCGTCTTCCTATGGTGATACATACTATCCTTAAGTTTGAAGTTTTTACATCTCCAGTGGTTCTTGAGATATCATGATAACAATCTCAATGTATGGAATTTCATAAGTTGACCTCTATGACCCTTGACCTTTGACCTACGTGCTCCAAAATGTAATCAGATTGTTTTCCTATAGTGATACACACTATCACTAAGTTTGAAGTTTAAATCTCCAGTGGTTCTTGAGATATCATGATAACAATCTCAATGTATGGAATTTCATAAGTTGACCTCTGTGACCCTTGACCTTTGACATACGTGCTCCAAAATCTAATCAGATCGTCTTCCTATGGTGATACATACTATCCTTAAGTTTGAAGTTTAAATCTCAAATGGTTCTTGAGATATCGCGCTAACAAACTCAATACAAGGAATTTCATAAGTTGACCTCTGTGACCTGTGACCTTTGACCTACGTACTCCAAAATCTAATCAGATCGTCTTCCTATGGTGATAAATACTATTCCCGAGTCTTAAGTTTAAATCTTAAATGGTTCTTGAGATATTGTGATAACGGTCAAACGGGACGGACGTACGGACGGACGTACGGACGGACAACCCGAAAACATGATGCCTCCGGCACCACCTTCGGTGGCGGAGGCATAAAAATAGTCCGGTACTACGCAATGGAGCGTATCGCAGCTGGCCAGATGCGAAGTAAGGAGCCCACTGTCCAATCATAACATTTACGATATCCGGGGCTAACGAATTGCAGTGAGAACAGCGTGAATTTTCTTACTCCGGAATAGGCACTAGTAAGGGACTAAAAACAGCGTGTGTGAAAAGCCAAAAAAGTTAGTCCGGGGGTTAAGGATAGTACGGGGCTAAGCAAAGTACGGGGTTAAGCAAAACCAGTGTGAAAAGAGTATCAGAAAGGACCATTAGTAAATGGCAATATCAAAGGATTTTTTTTGTTTTGTTTAATGAATTAAATGGATAAAAGACATACACTGTATGTCCTATGGGACGCACAACAAGGAATCATCCTTTAAAGGGAAAATCCACCCTGATATCATATTGGTTTTTATGGAAGCAGAAAAATGGGATACAAAAAAGTTGTGAGAGTTTGAGCAATATCCAATTAAAAATAGGAAAGTTAAGGATATCTAAAGTTGTAATCAGTGAAACACAAATTTGAAACTTTTCTCAAACTTGCTCTGTACAGGAAATTCCATAAACTTTTATTTTTCTTAGTTATTGATGATGGAAGAGATTTGTTTCGTACAGGGGTTGTATCAAAAGACATTTGCAATAATTACCATACATACAGAGTGAATATATGATTGAAAATTTTCTGAAGGGAAAATATGAATTTTATTTTTTTAGTACAGAGCAAGATACGTCACAGATTTGAGAATTTGTGTTTGATTGATCGCACCTTCAAAAATTCACAACTTTCTTGTTTTAATCAGTTTTCGCTCAAACTTTCACTGACCTGCTTCTCTCATTTTTCTGCTTCAATCAAAACCAGCTTAGTATCAGGTGGACTTCTCCCTTTAAACTGGATGAGGTTTCTACATTTGCCACTCTCCACCCAGGTGTTAAATGGGTACCAGGTAGGATGCAAAAGTTAATGTGGTTAGATGAGCAAGTAGGGACGTGTAAAAATGACGCCTGGCTGGATTGCTCCCCAGGGCAGGGAGCGGAGAATGTATATACATTGTGTGCGGGTAAGCCTGAATCCGATGACAGGGGTAACAATATATAATAAAAATAAATAAATAATTACAGTGCTTATATAGTGCCTAACACTTACTTTGTCAGAAGTCTCTAAGCGCTCTACAATAATCCAGCATAATAATAAAGCGCTTATACAAATTGTTGATGTATTAAGCGCTTTATAAAAGCTGAATATTATTTTTATTATTATTATGAGATGAGGTTTCTGCACACTCACTCTTTCTCCTGCTGCTTCTTGCCTCCTCTCTTCTTGTTCTTCCTCCCTGTAGATGACTTGGGTGTTACACCTTGTGCTCCCCTCCCCTCTGAAACATCATCCCCTTTCTGCTGTGTACTGGGTTTGGCAGGGGATGGGCTGGTTTGGTAGAGGGAGGAAGGGAAGAGGGTGGAAGGGATCTGCAGGTTGGTACCAATGCCTGGTAGACCGTACAGGGAATAGCTCTAGGAATAAATAGAGAGGAATCATATTGATGTTGTACACAAAGAGTAATAACAAATGCAGAGGAGCGGTGAACGATTTACATCTGGGAAGCTCTGAAGAGCTCTGGTAAAAAAAACATTATAATACAGCTATAAGAAATTTCCCTTTTCCTCCAGCAAAACATTATTAATAGTTTTCATTAAACAGAATATCATCATTTCATTTGTTAAAGGTACATAGGGTTAAGACTGCAAGGTATGATTTTGGTTCATAACAAAAACTATACAAATGCACTTGAAAGAAAGATAAACTATTTCAAAATTAGGTCTAGACACATGCATGAAGTTTAAGAAACAGAGAAACATAAAGAAGAAATTTATTTTCCACTATGTTTAAATGTTGCTCATTAAGCCGTTGACTACTGAATTCTCTCATTCCCAAAGGCTTAATACAGTAGCCATCCGGTTCCCGTAGTCAACAGGTTAAATCAGGTACGTGTTAGTGAGCCATGGCCAAGTTTTATAATTCACACTTTGGTAAACATAAACATCCCGTCCTATTGCAATCAAATCCTTTGACGATGAGAACCTCGTAGAGGTGTCGTGGACGAGTGGATATGTCACTGGACTGTGGATCACAAGGTCCGCGGTTCAAGTCCCACCGCGGCACTAATGTCCTTTGGCAAGACATTGATCTATATTTGCCACTCTCCACCCAGGTGTTAAATGGGTACCCGGTAGGATGCGAAAGCTAATGTGCTTAGATTAGCGAGTGTGCGCTTGTAAAAATGACGCCTGGCTGCAATGCTCCCCAGGGAGTGCAGAATGTGCATACATTGTGTGCGGGTAAGCCTGAATACGATGACCGGGGTAATAATATATATAAAGCGCTTTGAGAGGGCCTTCGGTCCTGAAAAGCACTATATGTAAGAACTACATGTAGCTATTATCAGCTATTATTAGAGTAGTGTAACTCACTCACCTTTAGAGCTGCCAAGACCGAGCCCAGATGGTCAACATGGATGTTCTTCTGGGCAGACAAAAGGTTCTGTAAACCACGAAGACATCCTAATAGGAACTAAAACAAAGAGAAAATCAATGTAGTGATTAAACAGTACGATCAAACAAAGGGGCTTCAAAATCATTATAAGCATTTCTGATTAAAAAGTGAAAGAGGGAAAATCAAACTGTAGTTACAATTTCATTTAAAGTTTTAGTTTCCTTTGAAACTTTCATTCAGTGGACTTGGTATAGCACCAGGTATGCACTGTATCAAATCTACAGTACCTACATGAACTGGCATATATACAATTTACAGTCTCCCTTTTGAAATACTTTGGTACCCCCCTTCCTCCACAGTTATTCTGAAGCTTAAAATCCCTCAAATCCTGACAGGTGTAGAATGTTCTAGTGAGCATGCTGATGCCCAGCTATTAACGTGTACCTGGTAATTTACCACAGCACAAATTCTCAATCTCTCAACACAAAAGCAGGAATAAGGTATACTTTGTATGATTTTATGAAATAAGTTTTTCAGTAGAGACTGGGATATAGGGCTCATAACATCAATATAAAGTTGTAAGCATACCTACTAAGTTTCTGTACTTACTCTAACCTGTGTGTAGTCATCACAACCAGCTGGTTTGGGAGTATGAAGCGCCGATAAGATTACATCAAAACTGAGACTAAGAAGAGGTTCACTGATCACTCTCCCATCGTCACTCCTGTTTCATATCACAGCAATGGAAGAAAAAAAAGTACTTCTAGATTAGTTGAGAGATTGTTTCAACTAAATCATGAAAAATAAGCAGTCTGCCAGGTGGAGGAACCGGCCAGTAGTAATTGAAAGCATGTCAACTAAATTTGGACTGAGGTTCACAAATATTTTTTTGAGGCATAAACAATCATTGACTACTGAATTTTGAGAACTTGGGCATACTTTATGCAGAAAAAATGTGCATACATGCATTTCACTTTTAAGAGCAATAATTCATGCCATATTGGTTATTTTGCATATCAAGATTATATCTGTTTCTCTTAAAATGATATTGAGCTTTTGCTTTGGACTGCTTTTCATCTTTATGGTTTCTCCAGGTTTTTAGAATCTAATTTAAAAAGATCATCATGAAAAAATAGAAAATCAAATGGTACATAATTTGATATTGATTACTTACTTCATACAAGCATTAGCAATGCAGAGGATAGCAGTCCGTCTCACCTCGAGGTCATGTGACAAGACCATCTTCTGCAGGAGTCCTGGAGGAGAAGGCATCAATATCTCCTCAAGAAACTGACAGGAGAGAAAGGAAAAAAGACAGATTCAATATCAAATTACAAAATTACTAACGGGAGAGGCACAAGCCCAATACAGGGGGTGTTAAACAAAGATCCTAAGTTGAACTTATCTCTAAGTTAGACTTAAAAATTATGGACAGCCGTCCGGAAAGCCATTAGCAACTTAGCATCTATGAAAATATTTTGTAAAAGTTATTTTAAAAGGCATAAAATGTTGATTCGAATCATCAAGGAGATTTCATGTTCTTGATGTGGAATTCATAATAGTCTAAAATACTTGAGTTTTCTCTTAAGGATTTTTATGAAACACCCCCCAGGAGTCAAACTCTTGGAAGAATGGCTCCATGGTCAGATGCATATGTCAAGATTTTTATAATGCACTTACACGTAGGTCACTATTTCCCATTTTCTGATATTTATTTCTTTGTTAACATTTGCAGTTCATCACGATAAGCTAAGCATGTTCTCCACTCCCTGGGGAGCATTCCAGCCAGGTGCCATATTTTACAGACACTCACAACGCTGAGCAAACTTCATTAACACTCCCATTCTATTGGGTACTCATTGAACACCTGGGTGGGGAATAGCAAATGATGATTAATGTCTTACCAAAGAAAGTTAGGGCCGGGCTGGGATTTGAACCCTTTACCATGTGATCTACAGCCCAGTGACTAGTCCGCTAGACCACAACACCTCAACAAAGTTAGTTGTGCTTACCGTTTCACACTTTGGTCCATTTTCATAGAGCACAGCACCGAGAGCCCTTAGGGTGTCCGGAAGCATCCAGGATACACATTGCTTGCTCACTCCGATCACAAACTCTAGCAGCACTGTAGTACTGGGTTTAGATAGCTTGACCTGGAAAAAGGAACAAACACAACTGAACACCATCACACTTCATACTAATTAACTGACAGACTTTGGTAACCATCAAGTTGTCTTGAAGACCTTCACACGTTATGCTTCTATTCCAAAATGCAATGAATTCTACTTTTTGTGTCTCACTTCAAAAATTATTACCTCATTTGGAATTTTACTATTCAATTTGGATAGTAATTTTGAATGTTGTACTAGATTTCATGTCTATTTTCAATTGGAGTAAGCTGGTCCAGATTTTTACAGCTTTAGGAATACCAGAATAATTACATACCAGAGGGAATTCAAACATCCAATACGGTAAATTTCATCAGAGTGTGGTGTAAGTAAATATTTTTTCAAACCTCTTTTTTGAATTTTTCACACATAAGTGAGATTTTCACTCAGCATTATTTTTCTGTTGCATTTCTATCTTTGTAACCCGAGCTTTTTCAGAGCTTTAACAAAGGTATCCAGACGACCCGAGCTAAATCGCTCACTGCCCGCATTATTTTCATTATTTTTTGTAACGTCACAGTAACATAACAAATTTGGGAAAGATTTCCTTTTGCAACAGCAACCTAAAATTTACAGCATCCCTGTTAGGTTAGTGTTAGTGATAGGGTTATGCCCTTAATAAATAATAATGAACAAATCTGCAGTATTATTCATTATAACCCTATTGTGAGCGCATGTGCAGGTTTAGCGTTCACATGCTGTAAATTTTAGGTGGCTGACGCAAAAGGAAATGGTACCCAAATTTGCCAAATGAAAAAGGTTAAAAGATTAGTGATTTCAATTTTCCCAAAATTCATGAATTCCTCCAGACCAACTTGCTAATTGCCATCATGGATAGATTTTCCTGGAAACCTACCTTTTGATGAGTAATGATGACTATCAGCTGGCAGACTTTGGTAACCATCAAGTTGTCTTGAAGAGGGACTATACGGCATGCTTGGCATAAGATCTGGCCAGCATCCTGTCATGAATTGAAAAAGGAGATGAAATTTACGGTAATGATGAAAAATGAAGGAAACCGCAAGACATAAGGACAGAGGAAGAGAGACCATTATTCATGGAGAGACTAAATTGTTCAGTATAGTATTCTCCCTGTAAAATGATAACAATTAATGCACTTGGAACTTTTGACAATTTCCTGGAATTTCAGGCAGCAAAATATTCAACAAGTTAGATGAATATTAAATATTGCAAGAATGTGTTGTCACAAAAATGTCTGCTTTCACAGAAATCGTAAGAGGTGGAATAGATTTTTTTTTTTAAACAGCTCTATATGTCTTATTGATATTATGATTTGCCATTCAAATATTCAACCAATCAAGTCTTTAATCTCGTCTTTATTTATTAATACAATTAGACTAGGTCTAGACCGAATTTTCCGTCTCTTTCGTTCGTTAGCCTCTTATTGGGGTAGGGTCGGCCGGCTCTCTCTTTAGAGACGGAAACCGTCTATACACATTCCCTTGATAACGCCACGGCCATTTCAGGTCGTAGCGTTTTGCCCCCAAAATCCCCCAAAATGTCATTTTACCTCGTGCATATCCAAATGTAAATTAAGCCTAGGCTATAATACATCGGTTCCACTTACTAACTTGATTGAAATAATCAGTTTAATAGTCCCTTTTTAGGAATTTATGGGTCAAAATCGAAATCCTTGTTGAAAAAGATTTTCAAAACGGATTTTGATTTTGACCCATAAATTCCTAAAAAGGGACCATTAAACGGATTATTTCAATCAAGTTAGTAAGTGGAACCGATGTATTATAGCCTAGGCCTAATTTACATTTGGATATGCACGAGGTAAAATGACATTTTGGGGGATTTTGGGGGCAAAACGCTACGACCTGAAATGGCCGTGGCGTTATCAAGGGAATGTGTATAGACGGTTTCCGTCTCTAAAGAGAGAGCCAGCCGACCCTACCCCAATAAGAGGCTAACAAACGAAAGAGACGGAAAATTCGGTCTAGACTAGGTCTAGAGGTCTAGATCTAGACCTAGAGTCTAGACTATTCTAGACCATTTTGTTGTGACTTGCGACTCTTTTTTTTTAAATGAATGAATAAAAGGAAAAAGTAAGAGAATTTGGTCATAAAAATGTTAACAGGATTATAATATATGGGAAATAACATGATAAAGCATAAAGCCGAAAGGCATAATCATTCTTAATTTTGTGATCAATCTATGCATGGAGAAACATAAAAATCAGTGAGTGGGGCTTCACAAATCAAATTCATAAAAACTTACCTCGTCAATCAACCCATAAATAGAATAGTCTAGAGAATTGAATTCATCCAAAAGAGCATTAAGGGTCTTTCTACTATCTTCATTGTTAGATGGCACTAAATTCCGTAATTTAGAAACACAAGCTCTGAATTTCTGCCTCTCTTCTGAGATAAATTTTCGATCCATGTTGCACAGCAGTCTGAATGGAATTCAAGATGGCAGCGCCCATGAAAATTTGTCGTGCCTGTTTTTCAAGCTCTCGAAAATTTCTTTTTGGACCACGTATCTCAGCAGTTGGCACGCGAAACTTTGCTTCCAAAGATACAGCTCCGCAGAGTGAAGATGAAACGCATTTTGGATTCGAGAATGTGTCTAAAGCAGAAAAAACTGAGAGAGGTAAGATAATGACAAAAGCCTACGGGCAGGTAGGACAATCTCCCCCGTCGCTAGCGGTCTAGACCTTCGGTGGAGTTTAGTGGTGGTAGTGTGGTGGTGGTGGCCGGTGATTATATATTGATGGCAGCGCAAGTCGCAACTTCTTCCATACTTGTTGTTACATTTTAGTAATGTAACAGTAATTTTCATAAATTTCTCCTTTGCATTTGAGTCACGTGTTAGATACTGTATAGATTCTAGACCTAGATTTTATGTTATTTTATTTTTATGTTAGACTAGAGTCTAGATCTATGTTATTCTTATTGCAAATCCGAGTATGATTACTATGAAGGAGCGCGAGCATAGGTGGAGGCTGGCATAGACCAAATTTTCTGTTTCTTTCGTTCGTTAGCCTCTTATTGGGGTAGGGTCGGCTCTCTCTAGGGTCGACCCTACCCCAATAAGAGGCTAACGAATGAAAGAGACGGAAAATTCGGTCTGAGACTGAGAGCCGACCCTACCCCAATAAGAGGCTAACGAACGAAAGAGACGGAAAATTCGGTTTATGGCTGGCATAGTCGATAGCATAATCATGAAAGACACGATGATATCTTTAATCATGTTAATAATCATAACCCATGTATTGTAATCTAACGCCTAGAAGGAAAAAAAAAGACTTGGAGTACATCTAGACTTATAAAGTCCCAGATCTAGAATGAGCTGATTTATGCTGAATTGGCAGATACTGCATTGCCAATTTGATACTTACTTTAACACAATACTCAATAGCGATTAGTGTTTAAAAAATGTTGTTTTGAGTGTTGCTGAATTCAGCAAACACGTACACCTCGAGTATAGCTATGTACACTAAACTAACAGCAGTATAAACAAAAACTTGTTTTTCAGTTCATCAAGTGTTCTCCAACGTTGCCGACAGTTATGACACCATGAACGATGCTATGAGCCTTGGGATTCATCGTCTGTGGAAGGACTATTTCATGCAGGCCATGCTCAAACCAACACCTGGAACCAGACTCTTAGATGTTGCTGGTGGAACAGGTAAGTTGGTCTTCTTTTTCTTCTTCTTCCTCCTTTTCTTCTTCCTCCTTTTCTTCCTCCTCCTCCTCCTCCTCCTCCTCCTCCTCAGGTAAGTTGGTCTTCTTTTTCTTCTTCTTCCTCCTTTTCTTCCTCCTTTCTCCTCCTCCTCCTCCTCCTCCTCCTCCATAATCTGCCTCCTTCAATACTGAAGATTCTTGCAGATTTATTAACTGGGTTGTGCAGGTGGACCACTACAACAGGGTTTCTTTGCAACTATCCTTAAGCGTTCACTTATAAGGCATATGTTCTGCAATCAGAAAGAAGAACCTTTCTCAGGCCATCTGCATTTATTTTGCAGATCGCAATGATCTAGGTGGATGTAAACCTGTGGGATTCAATTTGATATACCGGTAGGTATAACTATAAGAGGCATTTTTTATAGACTCAACTCTAGCCCTAGTTATCTTAATGGAAATTTTGCAAGAAAAAATTAAAACTTCATGACATTTTCTATCTTCTGGGGATTATTCTTCAAACTTTTAATGGGTCAATTTTCATCATCATCCTTAGGTGACATAGCCTTCCGCTTCTTGGACTACATCAACCACCTGAAACAGGATCCAGAGTTTACAGAGGAGTGGCCGGACGAGATCAGATGGTCAGGGTTGGAGACAGGAGAGGATGCGATCCAGCGGGGAGATGGAGACCCAGAGGGGGCGGGGCAAACCGTGCCTGTGGAGCAACATGTGACCGTGTGTGATATCAATGAGGATATGCTGAGGGTAGGAAAGAAGAGAGCTAAGCAGAGAGGCATACAGAGTGGTAAGGGTGTGGCTTTCTTCCATTTCATTTTCAAAAGCAGTAGTTATTGGCAGATGAAATATCTTTCAGATATGATGCAGTAAACTGTTTAAAGGGGATGTACATGTACATTTCTGTATCGTAACAGATTGGAGAGTATACTATATATAGGGCTATTGTTGCACCCCCCTCCCCCACACACACACACACGCACAATAATACTCCCTGACATTCATTTTAGATACATGTGTTGTTGTTATTGTTTGTTTTGTGTTTATGTTGTTTCTTTTGGGGGGGAACCTTTGGCTTTGGCAATTTGACTGGGGTATTTGTCAAGACTGTGTGCATAATAAATGGTCTCATGTGAAAATGTGCTTTCCAGTAAATGAGTTTTTGTTGATATTGTCTCTAGCTAGTCCAAAGATCCCAATTCATTCCTTGATAAACATTCAGTATTGCCATACCAGTTTTCTCTGGAATTCCATTAACACAAAGTTATTTTTTAATCCTTAAATTCTAATAAAAATGCATCTTTTGTTACTGGTATTGTTTCATGTCTGCAGGTATATCTTGGGTGTGCGGCAATGCAGAGGAGCTTCCCATAGCAGACGACAGCATGGATGCATACACCATTGCGTTTGGTATCAGGAATGTAACAAATGTAGACCAGGTAAGATGCACGGTTGAATGTCCGAGGTGGATTTGGGAGGGGGAGGGACAGGGGGGCAGGGATAAGCAGGAGATACTACCTGCACAAGGGCAGATGATAATAATAATAATATTCTGGGTTTAGGCCAAATAAAAAATAAAAAATGTTTAGCGTCCTGTTTTTTTGAAAAATAGGAAGGAGGAGGCCAATTTTTTTTCTTTTCAAAATGGCCGCTTGGTACATTTTTCCGGACAGTCGGGCTATTTTTTCAAGATTGCCTCCGGTATTTTTTTTTTTCTTCTAAAAATCAGAAATAGATCATTTAAGCAGTATGTTTTAATTCATTTGAAGAAAAAAAAATATTTAAATTTCTATTTAAATTTTTTTTTTTTTAATTGGAGGCGGCCCCCAAAACGGAAGCGGCGGGGATGCTAAACATTTATATTTTTTTTTACCTGGCCTTATATAGAGCGTAATATATCAACAATGTCTCTAAGCACTTTACAGATGTATTATTGCCTCGTTCAGTGGATTCAGGCTTGTCCGCACACACTGTATGTACATTTTCCACTCACTGGGGAGCATATTCCAACCAAGCGCCATTTTATGGACGCTCACAATGCCAAACAAACTATCGTACATGGACTTTCTCAGATCAAGGTCATTTGTAAAAAACTGTAAAGCCCATCAAAACAAATGTTGGCCTATTTGGATGCATGTTCATAACAGTTGTGTAATCATTATTGATTTATGCACTGGCTGGTCATTCTATGATTTTTCTTTTCAAGAGGGCAAACTAAAGGTATTGTTTAGTCCCTCCATGACTTTGGCAGTGATTATCCTAAAATGTGGGACGTCCTCATGTTCAAAAGATTTGTGGATATTTTGGGATATTTCAACCATGTGTTAGTTATGAACTGGTCTATTGTTTCCAGAGCATAATGTGTTGTATGATCTTTTTAATGATATGTGCAATCTTTTTATGGCAGGCTCTGGACGAGGCTTACAGGGTGCTCAAACCAGGAGGTCGATTCCTCTGCTTAGAGTTTAGTGAGGTTCAGAATTCATTGCTGAGGATGTGAGTAGACTTGGCTTAACTTATACTGTTAATAATAATAATGGCCACTTGTATAGCACTCATATCTGCCATGCAGTGATGCTCATGGCCCTGACACATGATTACATCGATAGTAGCTGAGCCGACAGATTAATAAGCGCTCAAGCGTGTGAGGTATCCATCTACATCTGGGCAGAGAGTGGCAAATGTAGATTTATGTTTTGCTAAAGGACGTTCGTGCCAGGCTGGGATTTGAACGGCATACCTTGTGATCTGTAGTCCAGTGACCACAACACCTCTACTTTAATATGTTTACCACCACACTCTATGAAAGAGGAATATGAGATTTTATTTCCCATGAGAAACTTTTAATTTGCAGGTATGGTGTAGCTAAAGGAGACAGTGTGCCCCCCCCCCCCTTAAAAAAAAATCAAATTCCAAAAGAGAGACAGAGAGAGAGAAAGAGAGAGGGGAAGAGGGAGACGGAGAGAGAGGGAGAAAGAGTGAGAGAGAGAGAGAGAGAGAGAGAGAGAGAGGGGGAGAGAGGGAGAGGGAGAAAGAGCAAGAGAGAGAGAGAGAGAGAGAGAGAGGACTGGGTGAGACATGAGAATGACATGATTGGACCTTCTCCCCATCCCATAAGTTGCCCTATTAATTTCTCTTCCATATATTCAAAACAATTTGCTTTGTTTTACATTTTGGCAGGGCCTATGATAGATATTCCTTTGATGTGATACCGGTCCTTGGTGACGTCATTGCGGGTGACTGGAAATCATACAAGTATCTGGTTGAGAGCATCAGACAGTTTCCAAACCAGGTAAAGCATTGGTTTTCACCTTGTCTATTAAAGAACCTGGATATTAGAGAATATCTTTTCGCCATTTGAAATGTAATTTAAAGAACAATTTCAACCTAATATAGCCAAGTAAAATGCAGTGGCATGAAAAGAGGCATCTGAATAAAAAGGGCTAACTATAATCCACAAATAATAATCCAGATGGCATATAATGTCACTTCCTTATGTGGTAATGGTATCATTCAAATGTTGGCATACATATTCAGGGAGCATTGAGTATCAGTTGCATCATACTAAGACAATATTACCGCTATTATATTCAATTTACCTTAAAAATTAAGACATGGATATGTATACTTTAAAGTTAAAAAGTATATTCACTGAATGATCTCCTGAAAAATGAAAAGTTAAACGTTAAACGTGTAATATGTACACAAGAACAGACTTCTATTCCTTATCATATATTTTGCTTTTCTCCACTTCTTATACAGAAGGAGTTTTCTGCCATGATAGAGGATGCAGGTTTCAGTTTAGTGAGACATGAAAACCTTTCTCTGGGCATTGCTGCCATACACTCTGGATTCAAGTTATAGGACACTAGGATTAGCACATTCCTGCTGTGAGTTTTCAGTTTGTCGCAACAACTGTGTTCTTGTGACGAGCGATGTCACTTCAAGGCATCTGCATATCAAGGAGCTCCGCCTCTATCTTGCTGCCAACATCTACCGAAGGAACCAGGAAACAGTTCAGTCTGTGTGCGTTGATTGCATTCATACTTTCACCAATCTGCTTCTCTAATTTCTCAGAGACTCGTTTAGAAATCGAACAAAGAAAAGAGAATTGCCGACATCATATTGAAAAACAAGTGACACAGCTAACATAAAGCCCTTTGTCCTGTTTCATAAAAAAATGTTTTAATAAAAAGTTAGAGTAACTGTTATAAGCTACTAAAATCATGGCATTTGATTGGCTAAGAGCAAATTTGTTGTTGCTACGAATTTTATGAAACAGGCCCCAGGAACAGTGTTAAACTCAACAATTATGACAGAAATGTGAGTATTTTACTCAGTTTTCGGCTAAAGCCTTGGTCACAAATGCCATTACGAACTGCTACGAACGCTGTACAAACAATTTTTTTCAGACAATGGAAATGCGGGAAGACAATGGAAAAATGGAGATTTGTACAAATGCATTGTTCGTACAAACCTTTGTGACCGTAGCTTTAGGTAAAATACTTGGCCAAGTTCATTGGTAGATACTTGAAGCTCTTTTTTTTACCAAGTGTTTTAACCTTAAAAAATGAAAAACATTGTTTATAAAGGATCATGTTTTTCCAGCATCTTTCGGATGGTGACGTTAAAGGTCGGTCCCAGACGTAAATAATCATATCTGATTGATACACGTAAAACCCCAATTACACACACACACACACAGCTATCTACTACAGATGTGGACATACAGTTAACATTATAGTAAATATGCCTTTATGTTCGCCTAAACCATTAACCACCTACTATATGATATAATAAGGGCTAAAACTAGAAATTAGCTTTAATATATGCATCTTATGAACTGATTTTCATATCATTCATTTACAAAATATACTCTGCACAATAGTTAGTTCAAGAAAGTTCCATATCTAACTGAAGCCAATTTATTTTGGAGGCCTTGATTGTCAAGCATGTGGTTTTCATAGGCAGTCATTATAAGCTGTGCAATATTATATCAGTGCATATTACAATACGATGCCTGTCACTGCAAAAAAATTGGATTGGCTAAGTGATGTCACAGTGGCTATTAGTAAGTATATTTCCTTAAAGTTGGTTTCGTAAAGTAAAATACTTAGATGTGTTCTGAAATAGACTTGATCCATTTTTCTTAGCTAAGCAAAATGCTTAGTAAAATACTGACATAATTCAAATATGGAATTGAATAGGGGTTCTGATCCAGTGAGTTCTTTTGAAGCACTGATGAAAGAGAATATGGGGGGGGGGGTGATTCACAAAGATTCTAAGTCGAAATTTATGGAGAGCCAAATGTAGCCTTAAAATACAATATATTCAAAATCAAAAATTCAAGTATTATTTTTTTATAAATTCCCCATCAAGAACATGAAATTTCCCATGATAATAGAAAATATGAATATGAATGATTTGAATCAACATTTTATGCCTTTTAAAATAACTTTTAAAAAATATTTTCAAACATGTTAACGGCTTTCCATAACTGTTAAGTCCAACTTAGAGATAAGTTCAACTTTGGATCTTTGTGAAACACCCCCATGGACATACATGCTGAATGCCATCATGGAGGCAACTTGGATGAATGAAGTTAACAACAAATCCTCCTTCGAGTTTCACGCACCCATACTCAGTAAGAGTTCTCTAAGCTACTACGGGCACACCCTTAGAAACATCCTACCCCTCCATGGAGGTGTTTCACAAAGATCGTAAGTTGGACTTAACAATTATGGAAAGCCATTAGCATCTTTACAAATATTTTGTAAAATTTATTTTAAAAGGCATAAAATGTTGATTCAAATCATTCATATTTCCTATTATCAAGGAGATTTCATGTTTATTTAGAATTCATGAATAATCTAAAAAAATTGTATTTTTTCTTTCGAAAATATTTCATTTTAAGGCTACACATGGCTTTCCATAATGTTAAAGGCCAACTTAGAGTTAAGTGTCATGAAGTGTCAACAGAAGATTCATTTAAGTCATTTCTGAAGACCTTTATGCTCACCCAAAGAGCTGATAGTTATGATTGGGTTTTTTGTCAAACAATACCATTTCTGTACTAAAACAAGATCTAATTATTCAATTATCATGTATATGTTTTTGATTCTTGTCTCGAGTTTAAACCATTTATTATAATATCTTAATTTGCATTGCTTTCACAATGTTATTCAATTCAAACTCCTTGAATGTTTTACTATTATGTATTTCTGTATTATATCTAAATCTTTGATTATTCATGTGGTTATCAATTGATTGTGTTATTAAATGCTAAAAAACTCTATAAAGTGTATAGAGAATGAATTGTTATTATGCACCTTACATGTATTACTATATTATCATTAAATGAAGGTATACAGTAAAAAGTGGTTTTTATACTTATTTTGTACCTAATATTTTTTTAACCAAAATTATTGTTTACCGTTTTGGAAGTTCAATAATTATAAAAGACATGAACCTGTTAAGTTATTATGGGATAGGAAGATATGAATCTGTCTCAATAACTCCTACATGAATTGAGAATTTATTTGAAAATATGGAGTCCGGGAAAACAATTACTCAATTTCTGAAATCGTGTGGGAGATTGTTCGAAATAAATAATTTTTCAACTTTTCCCAACTTTTAGACTTTATTCTTTCATCCTTAAGCTTTAAATCTTTAGTTGAGTATCTGAAATCGGGAAAAAACATCTTGATAGGGACACATTTTAATGTTTTCCCCTAATATTGGACACTGTGTGTTGGCTCAGTCAGTAGAGCATCCGCCTCACAACCGGGAGGTCGTGGGTTCGAACCATGGCCGCGTCATACCAAAAGACGTTAATAGACGAGAGTTGCTGCTGCCATGTCTGGCGTTCAACAATATGGGGTAGAGCAACGTCGATCTGGCGCTGCTCAGTGGCTGCCGGGCTCACGATCAATTGGGCAAAAATAATTTCCATTTTCGTTTCAACTTAATAAAATTTTTTAAAAGATTATTATTATTATTATTACTAGAAGGCACCATACACAAAATTATCATAATTATGTGTGGCTAATTTATGACATTTCTGAACCCCGCTTTCACTGGCTTTTCCTGCCTTGGAGACCCCCCTAAATCCGGATCACTGCTCAATGTAGGCCTACCCCCTAGTATTTATGATATTCAAGATATTTTATAACCCCCTTTTTTAATTTCTCACGATGATTCCAAACAGAAAGATAAAAAACACCCCCTTTTAAAATTGTCTCATGAGTCTAAAGAGCGAGAGAGAAGAACACCCCTTTTTAAAGAAATCTCCGGGTGAAAAGTCAAATACACCCCTATTTTTACAATTCTCGGGCCGGACTTTGTCGCGCGAAAAGTACCCCTTGGGCCCTTTACCGGAGATTTTGGGAACACGAATGTGGTCCCTCAGACCCCAGAGTAGGGGAGCGGGGCATTTTAGCCAAAAGACATTATTTGATCGATGTACTTGGTATAAAATCATATTTGTTCACGATTTCATAAAATAAGTAGTAAATTAAAGGCATTTTATAAACACATAATTTAGAATATAATGGAAGGTAAAACTATGAATACATCTCCCGTATTTCAAGCTAAAGGAAAGGAAAAGACAACAGAGAGATAGAGAAAGGGAAAGAGAAAATGCCTATTGCTACTATGTGCAGAAAGTGCTCTAGGGTGTTCCCGGAGAGTAAGAGAACGGAAGGAAGAAATGAGGAATGATGTGGTCCTTCTTTCAGGAAAGCTGCTGGGTTTCGAAGAAAGGTAGATTGCATTTACAATATCCTAGTCTTTAAAGTGCTTGTTTTCATAACTTTTAAATTAAAAATGAATAAATTCCGCGATAACACTCGTGTATCGTACGCACGATCACAGGTCTTTCTTTCTTTCTGTTCTGATTTTCTTTCTTTATCACTTCCTTTTCTCTCAGCCGCTCCCCGCCCCCCCCCCCCCTTTCTCTTCCTTTTTATTCTCTTCTCTCCTGCGCGCGTTCTCCTTTTTCCATTTCCGTGCATCTCTAGTCCCTTTTCTTATTTCATCACTCTCTCAGTGATCTCTTTCTCCCGTTCTTTCGCTTAGTATTCCCAGCCTTTTTTTTTTTTTTTTTTTTGTCGTCCTCCTTTTTTGGGGGAAACTTTGCGCACTTAGTAACTGTTGCACCCCTTTTTCAAGTTTTTGAAGAACGCTAGCTCTGGTATTGAATAAATTTGTCATAATACTGGACAAAGGCTTTTGGCCGGGAATTCGTATATTTAATATTTTCTTTATCTAACGGTGGTTTTATTATTTCTGTTTCACTTATCTATTACAGAGCGAATTTTGGACGTATATTTAATACGCCTTTAATAGTGAGAAAAGGTTCATGATTTTAATCCGGCAATTATATTCAATATAGGCCTATTGTGTGAATATACGATAAGAAATTGTGACCCAATAAAATTCTTCATCATTTTGATTTTGCGTCATCTTATCGGATAATATCCCAACACGTGGACTTAATATTTGATATTAAACAGGTATTGAGTGACAGGGTGTGTGATATGACTTCTTTTTTTACCGCCGAAGGGGCCAAATTCACGAAGGGAATAAGATTACGAGGGAAAATATTACTCCCTTTCTGTCCAAAAATGTTGTATTGCCCACCTTACCAGTCAATATCTTCGCTATTAAGTAGACTGGATTTTCGTTATATTCAATTATGTTGTAGGACACAACAAAATAAAGAATGTCTTGAAATAAAGGAGCGCCGATTTATTTTCCCCCGAAATTCTCACTTTTGTCTTCCACAATTTCTAGAACACTGTATAGTTTAAATCACCAAACAGTTGATATGATAATATGTCATCGGAACTTTTAAAAAGCGTATACTCGGATTTAATCAAAGTATGATTCTTTACCACACACCTGGGGGGGGGGGGGGTCGTTTCACAAAACTTGTCATTTTTTACAAATGACAGTTTTTGTTATAAGCTACTGAAATCCTTGATTCTGATTGGTTATCAGCAGATTTGTCACTGATTTTTGTCATTTGTCATTGAAAAGGGGCTTTGAGAAACGGACCCAGTATGGTAGACTCGATCACATTCATGTGTCCAATGGCGGCAATTAATATCTCATTCTAGATAAATCAAATCATCCCTTCACTATTCCTCATCTTTCTCATTCCACGGGTATACACAAATGTTGTGCCTCTGCCCTATATTATGATGATAATGATAGATAATGATAATTATAATAATAGTCATGATTATAACATTGATGATGATGATGATGCCGAGTGCTATAAATCACGCACAGTATGTCTTAAACTTGAAAGGTAATCTGGCAATGGTTTTATGTATCAACGGAATTGTATTTGAAACATGTGCAGACTATATTAATGTTCAAGTCTCCGGATAGGAGAGATGGATCAAAATTGAATTGTTTATAACTCACATCATCAGAATCAAGGAAGATGAACGCGCAAACGAATTGTGTTTTCTATGCGTTATGTGTTCTGACACACTTCCTGTATACCGAGAGTCCGAGACTGTGTGTGTCTGGACAGGTTGTGATTTAAATGAGCACTTTGAAGAAGTCTACAATCAATATTTCGTAAATCTTAGGCTTTAGTTAGAAAATATTGTAAAGGACAAATATTCATAATGGTTAATGCTATTTGATGAGCATTTTTCGATCTGAAGGCAAAAGAGAAAGGTTCCTGTTTTGTAATAGTCCTTACGCTAACCCCCATCACTTTGATATATAAAAAGAAAATAACACCCCGAGCAAAAATGTATACCAGAAGTAATAGATTTCATGGACAGAGCACATCAGGCACAAATATTTTGCCATCTTCTTCGACTGGTATTCATTAATTAATCTATTTACCTTTTTAGTAAATATGGCTAAGACATGAGACAGAATGTGTTTTTGAACTATCATAATAAATAATAATAAATTACATTTATAAAGCGCTCATGCACGACTTTCTATATGTACTGTAAAACTTTAATAATAGTCGTCCTACATAATACGCCACTTCGGAAGACAAGTTTATTTTCTCTTCTCACAAAAGACTGAACTGATCATGAATAAAAGACAACATTGCAATCAATATAGATGACATTTTGTAATAAAACAAGTAAAACATGACATTTCATTTTATTTTCAAGAAAGATTCAAAGTGATTTCATGAAACATGAATTGTGAAATTCTTTAGCAAATGCATGAAAATTGTAACATTCTATATGGAATATGCAAGACAATAAAAAGGAAAACATGACAATTCCTAACAGACTGGATTAGAAAGGTTCAGTTAAAAGAACGAATACACATCATCAGTAAAAGAGCTTTGATTAATTAGAACAATTCCAATTCATCCAATCAATTAATTGGGTATTGACCTCGAATATGTATTCGATTCGGATCAAACGCATTACAAGGATCTTAATCCAGAAGAGGAAAAAAAGGGATAGACTGTAGACAGCACAATTTTTAATGAAGGGAGGATGGAAGAGATGAAACATCATGCACAACCATTCTTTTTCGGTAAAAATGAAAAGGTCCTTAATTATGTAATAACTGAAAACCTTTTCAGATGCGCCTTTCCAACTCGCTCAATAAAAATTTGTCCCTCCCGTATAGGAGGACATTTCTAGAATGCCACAGCGCCTTGTCAGAGTAGCTTGGCTTATGCCGGAGTAACAATGAATAGTATCGCACTCAGAAACGGTAATATTAAAGCACTTTATAAATGTTGCTTTTATTATTCATTAATATTATTATTATGTCGACCAAAAATATGTCTATATAATTTGTTTGTGGCATAACAATCCAATGAATGGGCGATTCAACTTCACAGGTTTTCGCAACCTTCATGGAAAGCCCCTCATATAATCTTTGTAAACATAGTTAAAATTGACCGTTACTTTGTATATTTTGATTTTTATATTGCGAAATAAAATTGAATTGAACTGAAAACTGAAATGAGGTCTTGCTCTGTTGAATCCTGCCGTTTTAGAAGAGAATTGTGAAAAGAAAAAAGAAATCTCGAAGCCTAAGGATTATATGTGATGGTGCTGATTCGTTGGGAAAATTCATTCAAGAGTTAATCCGAGCACAATCACAGGTATGAAATCATTTATGATGTACTTTGGCGGATGGTCTAAGCTCAAATGCAAATGGATGCTATAAGACTAAGATCTAACAGTAAGTAGACCCAGAGCTTTCATCTTGAAACAAGATCCAAACCATTGGATAAGAAACAAAATCATTTTATGATACAGTAAATCTTCATCATATATTTTTTCTGAAATACAAATTAAAAAATAACAATTGACATGTGAAGTACTCAATAACGTTCAATCTGAAAGTGAATATCGGAGTAACTCCACAAAATAGTCGACCTAAAACTGTACATCGTACAGTTCTTCGGACAACCTCAGTACCTCAAGACTGAAACAAGTAACTTCAACAAACGTTTTCAACTCCATCACAAAAGATGAACAAGCATTATGTGTAATGTTAGTAAGACACGAAGCCATCATCCCGACTTGAAAAGAAGCACCGCCACTTGTCCGAGGTAGAAATAGATGAAATGCTTGGTCTCGTGCGTCACGTAGCTGCCGAAGTTGCGGCCGACGATGCAATGCCAGGTTGGGTTGTACTTCTTGTCGAACTCCTTCTTGATGTAGGCGGCGATGTCCTTCTCGATGTTGAACTTCTCGAGGGCTTGGGTGGCGCAGTCCACTGCGTCCTGCTGCATGTCTTCCGGCATGTCAGCATTCTTGATCACGGCCTTGCGTTCAGACATGATGACAGTCAATATCAGGCTGATCGTAGAGACCAAGAGAAAAGAAAAGAACAAATGATAATCAAGGATATTTTCCGGTCGGACGATATTTTTTTTTTCTTTCTGCAATCTGATCTAATAATCGTGGGATTAACTTCATCAAGTCCACTTGTTACATCGTTCAAGATTTAAAGACAATTTATATAAGTCCAACCGTTAGATCTAAGTATACAAAACGAAAGTATGAGTATTAAGAGAACTGGGGGCGTTCACAAAGATCCTAAGTTGGACCTAACAATTATGGAAAGCCGTTAGCATCTTTGAAAACATTTTGTAAAAGTTATTTCAAAAGGCATAAAATGTTGATTCAAATTATTCATATCATCATGGAGATTTCATGTTCTTGACGTGGAATTTATGAAAAGTCTAAAATACTTGAATTTTTGCTTTTGGAAATATTTAATTTTAAGGCTACAATTTAGCTCTCCATAATTTTTAAGTCAACTTAGAGTTAAGTTCGACTTAGGATCTTTGTGAAACACCCCAGGTACCGTCATTTTCCGCAAATATCCCCAAAAGCGCTACTTTTACTTCCATTTTCCTTTCTCATGAGTGCCCTTCCCTATCCGATAAGTGCTGGGTTTTATTTCAAAATGAGTGCATTTATCATAGAAGGAGAATGAAGAAACTACATGGAAATTACTGTCGGAAAAGGGGAAGAAGCAGGAGAAAAGAGAAAGCGACTGGATGGAGGAGAAGGTAAATAAATGAAACTGAAAGAGATGTGAATATTTAGAGGAACAAGGCCACCCAAGGAAAATTAAGACAGAACAAAAAAATTGTCTTCAAGACTCACCGGGCGTTCTATTCGGGCAGCTGTCCCCCCCCCCCCCCCCCCCCCCCCCAAAAAAAAAAAAAAAATCAACGAGAAAGGGATATGGAAAGAAAGGGAAAAGAAGAAGAAATAATAAATAAGAAAAAGGGGGAGATCAAGAGGAAAGAGAATTAAGAATGTAAGAAAGGAAGTAAAATAACAATTAGGAGCGAAATTAATTACAGATCCATTTTGGACCCATTTTGAAAAACCCGTTAAATTCTAAAAACAAACAAAAGAAACAAACAGCCGACAAATTGGTCCACTAAACCTTTAGATAGGACTACCCAGTATTGAAAAGGAAATGGGCGCATTTCATAAGTTAAAAGGGAACTTTTTGAGAAGTACAAACTTGCACTTTTTGAAAATTGGGACGAATGTGCCCCTTCCCCAGGAGTGCCTCCTTCTCCGACCATATTATCAATTATCATTTTCCTTTGAAGTGGATAGGTCTAGATCTAGACTAGTCTAAAAAAAATCTATAGATCTAGGGTCTATCCTCTAGATCTAGATCTAGATCTAGACTCTAGATCAAGTCGACATCTCTAGAAAAGGGGAAACAAATTAAATCTGGAAGTGGAACTGAAATGTAGGTTTATTTCAACAGAGACAGCCAGATCTAGTCCTAGACATGTTTGGACAGTTCTCATATTTTTGTTAAAACTTTCTAGACTCTAGACTAGATCTAATTTCCCTTTTTCGTTAGGCCTAGTGCTTTTACTTAGTTTTGCTTTTTAGTTTCGGCGCCATTCATTGACTTCAAAATGAAATAAAAATGGAATCGGCGTGCGCCGATGTCATCCGGGTGTCATCCGCTAGAAATTTAGAATATACAATTCAATAGATCTAAGTTAGGGTCTAGGCCTAAACCCCTTGCCGTTACTTTTCGGTTCTCATGCCTTGGTTGTGATTAAACTCTAACAAATAAATAAGACCAAGGTTTATTAAACAAACCAACTTTAGATCTACCGTCGAACAAAAGTCAGCTCATTATCTAGCAGCATGAGATTGAAGGTTTACACCAAAGGTTTACATCCTAAGGTTTACACCCTAAGGGACAACTCGACATCGACTACCAATCTTACACCAACCCTAAGCCAGACAGACGTAGACGAGGACACTCCAATCAATTTGAAATTCGCCACACCAACTCGGACGTATTTGTATAGCTCTAGGGCCTATGCCAACTCATATTTCCCAAGGACTGTAATTGTAAAGACATGGAACAACCTACAACAAGCAATCATCGACCAAACCTCCCCGCTCTCATTTAAAAATGCAGTTACTAAAGAACTTTTTTCCAAAATGTAATCGTCCACCCTTCACCACCTCCAGTCAAAACTCTTCTTCGGAGTATTTAGGAGGAAAAGAATCCAAGATCCAAGATCCTAAAGTTTTAGTTTTCTTACTCTTAGTCGAGTCGCGCGGTTGAGTCTCACTCTCAGCTCAACTCATGAACTAAGCTGTTGGCGTTGCTTATTTATGCTCACCTTTAACCTTATGGAGAATGATAAGCTCTGAGCTAAGATGACTGTTAATTGCAAAAACCTCACTGCCTGGTCCTTTGAACTGATCTTGGTTAAAAGTTGTGAAATCGACGAATCTTTGAAACTCTATTTCCTGTTTTCTAGAGTCAAATCTAGTAAGTAGGAGTTCATCTGGCATCCAAGTTATTACGAATCTCAGCAAACAATGGCATAATTGTTGCGCTTACTTGCGCGCATTTTGAGCAATTTATTATGCATATGTGCGCAGAATTATATGCGCGTTTTCGTAGCTTTTAACAGTAGCTTTTAACAGTCAAAAGGTTGACAAACTTTTCGTCAGGTTTGACGTCACAAAGCGTCGCATATTTCGTCACAAAAGCAAGTGCGCGTAACAATGGCTTTGACGTCACAATACCCAGTGTTTGTCAATATTGGGTGATTTCAAGTTCGGTGTCGAAAGCAGATATTGGTGTTGCGAAAAACCAACACCAACACCGAACTTGAAATCACTTATTGAACACGATAGCCATAAACTGCTTTAGAAAAATCATCCTAAAAGCTCTAAAGCAATTTTAATAGAATAGCCTTGTGCGTGCGTCAACTAAGTAAAAGTGCGAACGTGACAGTGACGTATTACGTAATCTGAACATGATTTCTATGGTACATATTATATTGAAATTGCAATTGAGTTGATGTTTTGGAAAGAGTTGCGAACATGTTTTTGGCATCTTATAATCAATTTGCGACATGCTCTTTGCAGTAGTAATACATGTAGTAAAATACCTTTATCACAAATTGACCCTTCTGTGACATTTTCAACATCTATCTTGACATTGTGTGATTGTTATCAATGTCATTTACGCATTGCGATATTGCATCCATGTTAAATTCACCTTTAAAAAATAATATTAGGAATAATAACTGAATATTTTCATCTCTAAGACGTGAAGAGAATTCCGATCTGTATCAGGATCTGTATGATGATGTGAAAGAGCGCCATCTAGCCATTCCAAGTATGCCTGCAAAACCAAGGTGAAAGCTTCCTGGTGATTCGCTAACTAAACAATAGTTACTATTATTTCTTCCTTAATAATTTAGAATACTTGTTTGTTATAGAGTTCTAGTATAATCATGAAGCTCGGTTACTAGATCAGTTTTTATGGATAGGTCGAAATTAATCAATTAGCCTACGAGAAATGTTATACTGAACTTCATTCGAATTATGATCATAAGCAAAGACAATGCAGAGCAAACATCTATTGGCATGAAGTTGAAGAGCGCCATCCCTCGACCTGTCTTTCATATCCTTGAAAACAAAAAAAAAGCACAAAGCGTGCAGTTCTAGAAAACACCATTTTTTACGTTTCAAAGTAACACATTTCTTGTTTTAAAGAGATTTTTTTTTCTTTTTTTTTTCGTTTACATTTTACAAAATATTCGAATATAATATGACATTGGTATGAATGAATCCAAAAAATGATGCTGAGAATACAAGATAATGGAGTGGATACAAGGAATAGTGAGAGATATGAGATTGGGATTGAGAAGAAGTAAGAAACAAGGGGGAACAATGATGATAATAATAATGAGAAGGAGGAGGTAGAAAGGAAGACAATTGGAAAAAAATATGAAGTTGCCGTGTGATGAAAATAAATCGACTGCTAAAAAATGATAATAGCGTGATAGTGCAGGATAAGAAGGACGATATAATCATAATTTATTTATATATGACAATTCTCTCTTTCTCTCTCTCTCTCTCTCTCTCTATCTCTCTCTCCCTCTCTATAAATATATACATTCTCTCCCTCTCTATAAATATATACATATAATTAATAATATGAAAGACTACATGAATAGTGACATCAAAAGAGATATGAGGGAACTAAATCTGACAGCGTTTCAAACATGGAATAGAGGAGAGTGGAGACGACGAGTTTGGGTCACCTGCTAAGGGAGATGGTTCATGTAATACATTATTGTAGTAGTAGTAGTAGTAGTAGTAGTAGATAATATCAATAGAAGATAGATAATTAGACCGACGACGGTTATTACGAAATGTCCATATGGTTGTCTTATCCTTCGTTATTTTATATTTCATGTGCTTAAATATATACATGTATAGTTGATCTCAAATGAGGTGGCAACGATTTATTCACTGCTCAGTCACACAGAGTTCTGACGACGATCTTTGTGAATTGAAGCTTCATGAAATGAATGACGATGATGGTGGTGATGATAGTAAAAATATTAACAATAATGATGATGATGATGATGATGATAATAATATTAATAATAACAATAATGACGATAATAATAAAAAAATTATAATGATGATAATGGTAATAATTATTATAATAATGATAATAATAATGATAATAGCATTGATGATAATGATAATAGTGGCTTGGTGTCCAAATAATGAAAGCCCTATATCTAAACCCTTCTCCCCCATAATGTTCGTTTAAATAACTAAACAAAAATATAAAGCCTCAATGAGAGTCAAAATTATCTTTTTTCCAACCCATAGCTAACCGAGGGAGACAATGATGACAGTAATGATTACTATTTATATAGGCCTAATATCATAGGCCTGCCATGGTTCATGGCTTGCCTTCTTTTGAAGAACTTAAAAAAAAAAATCATGATTGTTTTTGAAGTCTTGTAAAGACGCGAATCAATGTCTAAAACGTTGGCTCTGGAGAGGTGCCAACTGAGTTTGTATGGTGAAGGTATTTATAGTTTTATAGCACAGATCGATATGGGTTTATAATCATTGTCGTATATAAATCCCAATGCATGCTAGAGCACCCTTTTCTGCATGTAAAGTCCCAAGATACAATGGACTGAATTGAGCAGCGCATCGAATTTGCATACCGTCGACTGAAGCCATTCTTTGCCATACACGTCTGATGGGGGTCCCTTTGTGTTCCCCACAATAATCGGGGCTGATTTGGCCCCCGAGGGGTGAAAAAATCCCTCCCATTCCAATTCAAACTCTGAATAGAGGGGCAATTAGGCATTAAGACCTCACCTTCAAATAATGCTTATCTACTTTTCCACTATCTTCTCCCAAATCTGAGGCTGGAAATAAAAAATGATAGCATTCACAAACAAGTTATATATGTATGTCAACTCATTTTGAATATATTGAAACGTGAACGGAACAGAATAACTAACATGAAAAACTTGTTGCATGTATTAATCATGGAACACGAATTGAAAATGTATCACTGTTATAAACGGATACTGATTGTTTTAATGGTTCGAACAAACTTTAGGGTATTCCACGGCATGTAATTTGACACGACGAAAGACATTCTGTCTTTGAATGCAATCATACTTTTGCTGATTGAAAATGCGCCAAAGTCTTTTATCTTGCATTGGTTAAACTGGCAATGCGGAACAAAACCTCTTTCCATTTGAATAGTACGTGCATGGAAAAGACCAAAAGCAAAGAGGGGAAAAAAGTTTGAATGACTCCACCAAAAAAGTTCAAGGTTCTCGTTGAGCCCCGCTCGCGTTCCGCTACACTACGCTTAGCTGCCAATCTTTCTCGGAGAATGGGCTCCGTTGTTGACTCGTGCATTCAAAGGTTGATATCTCACCGTAGCTTTACAAAGGCCAGTTGTCACGGGCGGGCAAGCTGATAATGACTTGCCGTGTATCGGGATTTAGCTCCGCTAATAGCACTTTGATTGCATTGAGATAGAGATAATGCCTTGTCTATACAACCTAAGTTTTGAGTGGCATCACCCGGAACAGTACTAGAAGACGAACGCGTCGACCAGGTACAATCATCTTTGCAGTCAGTCATCGAAATTGAAGCGTCTCGTTCAAATGATTCAATTTCGCTTCAGATCGGCGGTTCGGCCGCGCCGGAAATTTTTGATCGTGAGCAAGTAGTACCGAGTTTCTGCTTTTCTTGAGCCCCGCCTTGGCCGGCCGATGCGATGTCAGCTTACTCGTACGGACGTGGGGCGGCTAGTCAGTTTACTGGAGGTGGAGGGAGAGGACAAGTTTCTTATCAAACGAACGCTAATGCCGCGGCGGCCCGTCCGTCTAGCGAGCACAGTTACGGAGCCATGGCATACCCGCATATACCTTCCATCAACGAGTCTGCCGAATTCGGGGGAAATTATGCAGCTCCTCTCAATTCTTATCAGAGACAATCGCAGAATCAATCTCAGCGGATGAACTCAAATATTCTTGGAGGAGATAATCGTACTTTTCCAGCTCCGAATATGGAAGCAAGCGCATACAATCGTCATTCAAATACAGCCCTGCAATCGGGGTATTCATCGACGGGCGCCTCGACCCCCAATCGACGGTCATCCGTCCCCCCGAATGTCGGCATCAACTCTTTGTCGAATATGCAACGCTCGAATTCGTACTCTGGTTCTTCAACAGACCCTGCATATTCGAATAGAAACTCTGGGATGGCACAATCTTCTTATCCACAACCCAACATGTCTAATCAATCTCCACATTATGGAGAAGGCTTTGCAGGGCCATATGCTTCTCAACACCAGCAGTCAGCCGCTTATAATCGGACAAATTCAATGATGAAATCAGGTGAGATGTGGGATAGGACAAATCAAACGCGATTGGGACAGGCTTCATTTTCCAATCCTCATTCAGTGAACACGCATTTTCCACATAAAACTGCTTCAAACCAGTATCACCACAGTGGGATGCAGTATCCATCTTCTCAAACTCAAAATACCAACACCCAAATGTATGCTGCCAATAATACATCTGGGATGCATACTTCCGCTGGCATGAACATGAGTGGTGATGGGTCCACATCAACGTCAGATTTGGGAATTAGAGGGAATCAGTGTGTGAATTCTGGTGCTATGATGGGCCAGGCATATGGGAACAATCAGGCAATGTACAGCTCTTCCATGGGTGCGAGAATGAGAATGCCAAATCAACGCTCGTCGGTGTCGGGAGGAGGCATGTACAACTCCATGTCGGGTGGAAACCAAGTACCAGGGTCACTGCAAAAACTGAGACATTATGGACCAATGCCGAACTCCAGTTCAGGCTATTCCAGGACTAGTACTAGACCAGG